TTCTCAGAGTTTCACGGAAATTAAATATCAATCGAGCGAAGGCCTGTCGTGACACTTTTTAAGACTTAAATTTGACACAACTTTGGAGGACAATTTACAAAAAACTACGGTACTCAGCAAAAAACAAATACCACATCCATGTATATTCACTCTATCTTATCCATCGAGGCGACTTTCGTGAACATCACGCTTCAATCAAGAAAACAGGAAGACTTGAGTGACACCTTATCGGTTCGCCTAAGTCACACGCGAAAACCGATCAAATTCAAAGTAAAGTTTTGAAAAAGTGAGGCGGTCTTAACTGATCCAACTAACATAGCTAGGAAGAAGTTGCCATAGAAAAGGTAACTACAGAAAAATACTTTGCGGCCCGACCTTTACTAAAACTTTATAACTCCGTGAACTTACCTAATTTTCTCCAAGTTTGGCCGCCATTTTGAGGGACTTGTCAACATGAAGCGTAGCAGATATAAATCGAGCAGGTAGATCTAAAACCGTTAGAAATACATACGAAAGTATTCAAATGAACTCTACCTTCAATTCAAGCGGCAAAACTTGAAATTGTTCGTTAAACTTACCATTCCTACATCCCCATGCGACCATTTCTTCTAACAATTCAAACACTGCAACTAATGTTCGAATTCCCCTCGTCAATTCCACCGTAAGAAATAACCTGTGCCACGTAAGCTTCGATTCGAATGTGAAGCACGAATCAAATGACATAACTGCTTCATCTTCGAGACCATATCACGCTGGTATTTTGATTTTCTGATCGACAAGGACGGTAATCAGGAATTGTTTACCATGTTTCACCTCATAAACGTGACCGCTGACCAGCCGCTGAGTGAAAACAGTACGGGCGTGGGGTGGGGTGGGTGGCGGGCTTATCGTCATAAGATATTCGAAAAGATGCTAAAAAAGCTTTAGGACTTAGTCTAAACAGTGAAGGCATGCTTCGTCGTACAGACAACTTTTATTTTATTCTCATAACTTTTTCCTTTAAATTAGAACTGGTATTAATTAATAGAGTCATTTAAATATTTTTAACCTGGGTACCCATATGACTTTTTTGCTTTTCATCAGTGGTATAAAATAAGGTGTCTTTTCTTCCAGAACCTTTTATTCATACCCCATTGCACGGAATGAACACTATGCTGAGAACGTTTTTTCTAAATCATTTTTTGCTGTTCCCAAGAATGTATGCGTAATCATTGCTTTATACAAAGCTGACTCTGAAATATGATTTTCCGTAACAGTAACCAATGTCATTTACGTATGGTGTTAATCAAACTAGCAATGTACAATTTTTAGCGCTGTCCACTTATAAGACTCAGATACAATCGTCAAGTGAACTATGTTAGTTTCAGCTCATTCCTTTTATCACTAAACCCTATTCTTTTCATTTGCAATTTTCCTGTACATTTTTTTTATACGACAACGACAAAGAGTTTTATCAGTAAATATACAAATACATGCAAAAGGCCGGCTAAATAAGCTACTCCTCCTGCTCCTAATTTTTGGGTTGCTTTCGCCCCATGCCTCTGCACGACTCCCTGTTGGCTAAAAGGAAATTTGAAAGACTGCTATGCAAGACACCTTTTCTTTTTCATTTTCAGTTACCGTCCACAATTTTTTTATAAGTATGTAAAGATATAAAAAACCCCAATGTTTTAACAAGTAAACTGTTTTTTGTGTACTAAACTAAATATATACATATACTTTGTTCTGGCAAAATGGTGGCTAAGAACGACTGAATATATCTCTACTTGGAAATAAAATGATGCTGTTTGGTTTCCCGTTAAAACATTACGTAAGAATGACGCGTGTCTGTTCAAATTGTGACAAAACCACGTCACAAAGTCAAAGCAAAACAGAAAAAAAGTGTAATTTTCATAACCAACTTACAATCTCTCCAGGAGAAAAATCCTTGTATTTGGGCTTTGGTTAACCACTCTTCTTGGGAAAACAGGCGCTCCCCGTTTTCCCCCTTCGCTTTCCTCATATCTTGCGAGACTTGTCGCGGAACCTCTCTCCTTCCACATTGTTCACCAATTTCAAAATTGGAGGTGAGATACTGCCTTATTTTCTCCGAGAAGCGAACAGCGCCACCTTTTGGCTTATGAAGTGCCCATTCTTCACTTAAATTCGACTGGAAAGGTTCGGTACCCTGTCTCTCGATAACACTGGTACTGTCGTCTTCTGAAAGGGTAAGGGATGAGATTTTTCAACCCAGCCTCGTTCGAGTCAAGTTTGTCGTATACACTCTCTGTATGTTGTCCAAGGATATGTGAAGCTCCATTTCTTCGACAGATTTGAATGTCCTAGCACATGAACTCACAAAGAAGTCACAACGAAGTCACAACGAAGTCACAACGAAGTCACAACGAAGTCACAACGAAGTCACAACGTGACCACCCCCTAGTTGGCGTGATAGTTCAACTGGTAGAGCTCTGCCGGTGTAAGACATTTGAAGAAGCTGCGGCGCGAGCGAAGGCGAAACCACGAGAGACGAGTCGGCGAGCGAGGGTAGCCGGCGAGTACATTTACGCCTAAATAACGCTCTCGTTAGTCTGAACTCAGATTAGCCCGTTCACGGTTTTTTAATCCATAATTGATGGAAATGGAAACTCAACCACTGTTCTTCCTTTTTCGTCCCACGCGCACCTTACATGAAATTAAGAAGCCTTAGTGCATGATTATGTACGTTTTAGTCACAATTTTTCGATTTACTGGCTAGTATAATCCATAGACAATCAAAGTATAGTTAGCAAGTTTTCATGACCGTAATAACCTGCACTACTGTTTTTGAGAAGTGTGAAAATGTGTAAAAAATGAAAGGTTTTTTTTTTGTTGACATGCTAATACGCTCGACCATTTGCTTTTGGGTTGCACGCTAATGTCAGTTTTTCATTTGTACTTTTTCTTGGCAATTATTTTTTCATCGATGTTGCCACTTTTTAAAACATAATTCTCACTTTTTTCCCCCTCAAATATGGTAAAATCTAATAATTTTTCTTGAGATTACGAAGATAATTCCTGTGAGCTACCAAATTTCGAGCTCAAGCTTTTTTGCCGGGCCTCCCGCTAAGGGATCTGCTAATTTAAGCGAGCAGGAGCTGAATCAGCTGGTTGAACAAGGACACTCGGGGAAGACCAAACAACAACAACGACAACAACAATCTGGGATGTATCAACTTTTCGAGGTTAGTAATGCATAGCGGAAATTTAAGAGAGCATTTTTCAGCGATTTCGCGGCAATATAACTCAGCGCAAGATTGGCGTCTTTTGTTCTCTCCGACAGCAAAAGTGCTTTCGGCGAGCAAACTTGTATATGAGAGTAAGTAAATTTCTGTTTTAAGTGAAGTCTTTCATAGGAATTCCTTCTGTTCCAAAAACGTTAAAGATAACAGTTTTACTGAGCTTTAATCAAGGAAGTTTTATCAAACATCGATAGCCTCTCATGAATTATTTCAGTCCCCGGGTTTCAGTTTTCATTGATCGTGAATTGAACTTTAACAGCCGCTTGAAGGACCGACTGCACAAGTATAAGATTACATTTCTAACATTTTCCTTTAAACCTAAGTTTTCTGTTCATTTTACCAAATAACGAAAGTACCAAAGATCAATTTTTTAAAGCCATTCATGTGTTCAATTTGAATGCTACGGGTTTCGCACTCAATCGAGTTCGAACTGATCTAAACCCACTATAAAGTTTCTATTTCAAGTACGCCCCCCCTTTTCCGAGTTCAGTCCCATTTTTTTTCAAGCTCCCCAAATATTTTGGACTCGATCAAAAACGCTCCTGAGTCTGAACTAAATCTGATTTTGAATTTTAAATTATTTTAAATTATAAATTAAAGTATGTTAAGTATTGTATTGGTTTTACTTTCAAGTCTGATTATGCATTTGATATATTTTATCCACGTTTACTTGTCTACAGGTTACTTAGGTAATGTAGTTAGTTACACATGACCCCTCAAACATGTAATGCTTTTAATCTCATCGTGTTTAAATAAAGGATCTTACTTACTAAGTTACTTACTATTTCTCTTTGTGTCATTGTAGGCAATCACACTATTTCTGTGAAAAAAAACTTCAGAAGAATATAACAATCTGAGCACTGGACTTTAAAAATGTGAGACAGGCAGTCAATGAATTGATCGAGGTTGGTTTTATTTTAATTAATGGGAGGAAAGTGGCCCAGCGGTTTTACTTGGGTGGTGATTACAAAGTGAGTAAAATGAAAAGGGATTATCAAAATTGCA